GCCGTCCAGTGAGCCAGTAATAATGACGGATCGGTTTTTAATAATTCGCCAACAAGACGGACCAGTTCCACCATAAGTTTAACTTTAAGCAGATTACGTCTTACCCTGTTTTGCGCAACGGCCGCTGCTATAATTATTTCTTAAAGTATGATTATCTGAGCCGCGGAAATGCTATAATACTTATGTAATTTCAAAAGAAACTGTCTTAGTACGCTGGTGAAAAATGTTGCAATATGGTGAATTGACGATCTGAAGGTCGCGAGAAGTGCCTGGATGCAGGCAGCGCATGACATCATCCTTGGGAATCCTTGAGGAGGCCTTTATCCAGCAGTGGACGTCATTTGGCTGAAACGATATGGCGCCGAAGAATAATCTCCTTCTGCTGTTTTCATTCATCCAAATGATATACAACATCAGGCCTCCCCAACCCGTCTGCCCAACGTGGGGAGTGTAGGCTAGATTCTCCATTTACCTCTGATTAGAAGTGAAGACTAAGTTTTATTTTTTATTTTTTATGCATATCAAGGCAGTTATTTGACCACAATCGCACCTGATGTTAAGTGGGATGCGGTCTAGGATGGTACATATCTGCCCTGTAAGTGCCTATTCACTCTCGCCTTGAAAAGGCCCGGATTATAGGTTTGCGGGAAAGACAGCAGCAGGCAACGAATTCCAGTCCCTAGCTGTTCGCATTATAAAAGAGTCATCGAAACGCTTAGTGCGAGCTGGTGGAATGTCAACAATATAGGGATGGTACGCTAACCTGCGTCTGGTTCCCCGATGATGGAAGGGGGCTGGTGGAATTAATTCATGTAATTCTTTCTCACATTCTCCGAAGTGTAGCCTGTAGAAAACCGAAGTAAATGCTATACGCTAATATCAGGCCTCCTCAACCCGTCTGGTCAACGTGAGGAGTGAAGGCCAAATCCTCTATTTGCTCTTTTAAATTATAGATGGTCGTACTCCTGCAGTGATGAATAAGTGACCTTCGAACCCCTCCTATGTGCTTCTGATTGTTTTCGTTGCGGGTCCAATGACAGTTTAACTTTCTCCCGGGACAAACTTGACCCTCACTGGTTGGGTTTTTATTGACGGTCAAGCTGTAGATCCTGTGTAGTTGCAGCGGTGGGAACGAGAGGTGGTAATAGACCCGTTTGAGGATGAATAAATCTCACTTCTTTCTAGTCTTTATTATTTGGGTGGATTGTGTTGATGAGCACCTTCATGCTGTATAACGTAGAGCTGGCTAGCTGGAACCGCTATGATAGAACTGTCATTTATATTCAAATGTGATGTTGTCTTTAGCTGTGTAATGGCTGTGCCGAACTCTCTATTGTAAATATTCTACGTGTGTTTTGATACCAATATATTTATTATGTTACTACCAACCACTGTGTTTATTGCTCTGTAGCGGACTTAATATATCNAAGCCGCGGGCGGAAAGCTAGTTACACAATAAAATGAGAAAAAAAATGTAACGCATAGTTCAGGCGGTGTTGCCGCAAGAGATGTTTTTTTTTTCAGTACTTTGAAAATAAACAAAAGGGTTATTAAAATTTCTTAGCGATTCCGAAAAACCTTATCGAAAGTTTCGAAAGTTGCCATTTCTTTCACGCAAAGCGAGACGCGCCACTCAGAGTGCCCAACGGGTCACAATGTCTGTGTTACTGGTTAACTAAATACTTCACTTTAGCGTGGCAAATGACAATGTTTCTAACCAAGTGTTACATCACCAAACGCCCACAATTCTCTATGAAAATGAATCAACAATGGTTTGTCAATTGTTTATTAATACCGACAAATTACCTCGAAAGCACTATAGCCGTATCAAATATTCAACATGGAACTCTCAATTACAAATCTGACCTTTCTAAAACACAGTAAACTATACGGTCTAATGCTAAAAGGCAGTTGTGGTGGAAACTACCGTTTTGCCCCGGGCAGAGCCGAGGGTCTTAACAGGGTACGATTTTGGCCCCTGACATAGAGCGAGTGTGAACAGTCAACACAATGAAAGTCAGACTACGCCCGTATTCACAAACGATGCTTGCTTAAGTGAAGTAGCTAATCGAACGCACAGCGTTGAATAGAGCTCCGTATTTGGTTCGTGTGTCACCCTGTGCGTCCACGCGCACTGCGAGACCTCATAGTACCTACCTAATATTTATTGTGAATCGCCCGTACCTGATCAGTTTTTAATAGCAAAACAGCGGTCTCGTGAAAGTGTCAGTGATCGATCACATAGGCGCGTCCTTAAACTTTTATTTCTATTTCTCATACTGTAAAAGTATGTCTTAATAGATTAACGTTGTTTTATTTTGCTGCCATACTGTGCCTAAACACATTACAAGTAGATTTTTATTTGTGAAGTTAATTTAATTGAATCCGCAAGTCTAACCGGTTAGGTAACCAACACAACATGTCAATTTCGATCAGAGCCCCGATTACGGTAATTTTTAACGTCAACAATCCAGACACGCTTCTCGATTCTGCGATACGATTGGTCGTTCAACAGCGTAGGTACGTCAGCTGTTTTGACCAATAGTCCAGTCATTACGTACATTCAAAAAAGAAAATGAATTTGCGCTTCTAATTTTTTAATATGTTGTAGGGGATACCTAGAAAAGCTTAACTTGAGATTGTCGACCAAGCTTTCCTAGGAGCTTTCGCCGCCATGTTGAAAAAAGGGGTAAAATTTGTTTTTCGGCAATAACTCGGCTATCCGATGAGACTCGAAAATTTTTGTAGGACACTTTTTGTAGCTTTCTTTGTGCTCTACAATAACGCCCGAACCATTTTTAGCGTATCATGCATCGTTATCGAGATATCGATCGATAAAGTCAAAAATTTTGGACATAAATTATTTCGGAATAATTAACACCTTCGCTGCCAGCCTAAAAATGGCACTGTTCCGTTCGGGCCATGGGGGACAATGATGGGCGACACTTTAACTTTCCGTTCGGGCCGCGTCGGACAATGATGACCGCGAGTCAGACCTATGTTTAAACCTCTGTATTGAGCCGATGGACAGCATTTCTTCAATAATTCTCTTATAAGCTGACCCGCGCGGCTCCCAAGATTAGTGTACGTCACTTGGTTCTCAGGTAAAGCTCGGACTTAGAAAAAAAAAATGTGGATAACGGTAGCGCAATGAAACATGGTAATTATACAATGCATTTTTGCAAATTTATCAACTTTTTAGCAAGATAATAACGGTTTATTAATTAAAACATATCGTTTACTTATTTTATATAATTTATAATATGCAGGACAATAAAAAAAATCACTTTCATTGTTGAACAACCACTTTGTATGAAGGGTTGGTACAGGTACTAAGTTCTTTGTACAGCTACAAAACTTATGCCATTTAAAACCTTATTAGTGGCATAAATTATTGTACTTATTAGATGCTTACACCTAGCAGGATTGTCGAGAAAAATAGATTTGTTTAATGTATGAAAAAATTGTGTCCAAAATTTTTGACTTTATCGATCGATATCTCGATAACGATGCATGATACGCTAAAAATGGTTCGGGCGTTATTGTAGAGCACAAAGAAAGCTACAAAAAGTGTCCTACAAAAATTTTCGAATCTCATCGGATAGCCGAGTTATTGCCGAAAAACAAATTTTAAGCGTTTTCCAAGATGGCGGCGAAAGCTCCTAGGAAAGCTTGGTCGACAATCTCAAGTTAAGCTTTTCTAGGTATCCCCTACAACATATTAAAAAATTAGAAGCGCAAATTCATTTTCTTTTATTTGCCTTTTTTTCGGACGAAATGACTGGACTACAATCGTATCGCAGAATCAGAAACGCGTCTGGATTGTAGACGTTAAAAGTTACCGTACTTAATCGGGGCTCAGGTAGGTACTTACCTACAACGAGGTAGTAAAAATATTCTGTAATGTCGCCTTCAGATTTATTTTGTTAGGAAGCGCTACAGTGGCGCCACTGTGACGCGCTTGCCACACTACTATGTACTTACTAGTTTTCAGCGCAGTTGCTTTCTCAAGTCTCTAATTTGAAGACGCCAAGGTTCCCACGGACTCCCAGCATTACCTATAGATGAACAACATCGAACCGTCCCACCCGTGACACTGAGAGGAGGGCGCCACCGTCAATACCAGATCACTGGTTCTGATTTTTGCCATGTGGAACGATGGTGGCGCCCTCTGTCAATGTGTTTGGTAAGACAATTCAGTGTAATTCATCTATACTACTTAGTTTACTAGTTTTCATAAAAAATGAAATACTAGAAGCGCAGTTCCTTCTTATTTAAAGTCGCTAAGTTTCGAATCACTCTGAATTTCATAGAGCCCGGGTGAACGTCATGACACTAAGGTAAAAAAAGGGTTGTCTGTTCTTTCACATTCTACGCCCATACTTAGGCCTAGCAAGAAACAGTTGACTTTGATATTTACGAGGGCAAAGGCGTAGGATGGCTCGGGCCGGCATTTCAATTGTTACTTCAGCTATTTGCAAACTTTTTTTGGGGTAAGGATGGTAAGTATCCGCTTTAGCGGCGAAGATATGGCTTTTTAAGTAGCGTAATGTGGATTGTAGACCTTTGGTTTTTGGGTACAGGAAATCCAAGGGAACAGGGTTTTTGCTACGTATTTTGAGATGTAAGTATGTACCTACTTATTATCAAAATAACTGAATTTGGCACAGATTTATTATCAATTAATATTAAAAATATCTCCAGTTACAGTGAATTAATAACGTCCATATTATTTGGTCCATTCGATTAATTAGATTTTTTTTCTTTGCCTGTACCAGGTTCTTAAACATAAACATTGAGAGGTATAACGCAATGCAAAGAAGGAACACTGTATTTAAAAAAAACTGAAGTTTTAAAATAACAAATTCTAATTTCTCAAAATCAGTCTTCTATATTTTTTTTTATACAAAAAAAACTTTAACACACAATGTCTTTGCTTAAAATCGTGTCGGACTTTCTTAAAAACCTGTTCTGTCAGTGTCAATGTCAAAGTCATTGTTTCTTGTTGCGAGGCGTAAAGTTTTTGTTTTTACGAAAAGAAAATTAAAATGAATTCGTACGATGTGTATTTTAATAGTATTTGCCGCGTTTGTTTATCATGCAAAAGCAATGAAAGTATGGTTTGTCTCATAAACAATAGCAACAGAGATGGGCTAAGTTATTACGGTAAAGCAGTTACGAAGTTCGCCAATGTTGTCATCAGTAGAAACGACGAATTACCGCATTATATGTGCCAAAGCTGCTTGCATTTGCTAACGCAGGCTATCAATTTTAAATTAAAGTGTGAATCAAGCGACAAAAACTTGTTGAACTTGTTTAAACAGCATAGGAAGACAAAATCTAACCTCAAGGAGATTGTGGTGAATTTTTCTTTGATTAAAGACAATTGCCCGCAAGCACTCAGTGATGTTACGTCGTCGAGTAGCAGTGAAGATGAATCTGTAGACATAAGCAACGTTAAAATAAAAAAACATGACTCCGATAGTGAAGAATCAAACAATGAAATTGACCACAACGAAGAACAAACTCAAGCGGAGCCCGATAGCGATAGTAGTGCTGATGAGGTCCTAGATCACTTAGAAAAATCGCTCCTAGGGTTGTCAAGTAGTGACTATAAGTTGTTAACAAAAAGTAGGAAGAGAACCCAGAAAAAAGCCAGCTTTAAAACCAAAAGAAATGTAATTAAGAAAAAAGTACAGCCAAAACAAGAGTCCAAAGCCAAAATCAAAGAAAATTATGTTTGCAAAGTTTGCAACAAAGAATTGGCTAATCCATCAACTTACAGATATCATATGCAACGACACACCGGTTTCAGTTACATCTGCGAGAGCTGTGGCAAAGGATTCCCTATACAAGCCGAACTAAATCGGCATCAAGTTAATATTCATGGAATCGGACCATCCTTGCAGTGTCCGCATTGCGCTTACAAAGCTCCCGAACAGTTCATGTTAACGGAACACATCCGTTTACACACTGGGGAACGTCCGTACACATGTGACAAGTGCGGTTTGACGTTCCGCAGACGAGCTATATGGAAGAAACATATGATTTATCATAAAGAAAAGACCGTACAGTGCCCACATTGTCCAAGGAAGTTTCATCGAGTTGCTGAAATGCAATCGCACTCGAACAGCGTTCATGAAAGGATGTATGTGTATTTGTGTCACAAGTGCGACACAAGTTATGCTAAGACGGAGACTGTTCGAAGACATTTGGTGGAGAAACATGGCATCCCACGGGAAATGCAAGGGAAAGTTATGAGAGTAAATAGAGGAAAAGGTGTAGGTTCTTCTGGACAATAAATAAATAATATTTTTACTCAGCACTGTTTTTCATTTTATTAACTTTTGAAAATAAAATATTATACACTCGCGAGCAAAAATATGGAATCACCCTATTTATTCCGAGCGATCATAAGAACTAAATGACTAATAGAAGATCAATAAAAATGGTACCATTTTAAAGATGATATTAAAAACTTAAAATTGATATCATAGGTACATACAATACATGGTCATTCAGTTCTTAAGACCGCTCGGAACACAAAGGGGTGATTCCATACTTTTGCTCCTAAGTATAGTTTGTAATTTATCCCAATATTGCTTTGATTTCAGAGAGCTATTAGATATTTTCAATTTAGTCCAAAGATGTTAATTAATTCATACCTAACTGGTAGAGATTGCCTTATGGCAATAAGTTCGCATTATGTAAGTACCAATTATTGATTTTTTATTCATGTTTAAATAAATAAATATTAGGTAATTATGAGTACATAGTTACCTAATAATATTTATAGTACCTAATCTTTGAGTGTGGTTAAAGCTTTTGTGTAATAGATTTTTAATTTAGTATTACCTACCTACTCATAATACATAGGACTTCACTAAAGAACTACGTGTCGCGAGACGCTCTAGGGGGTACCTATAGATTCTATTTATTTTTTAACTATTAACCTGATATTTTAGGTAAGGTATAGCTTAGTACCTAAGGTTATCTAATTTAAATAATTATTGTAAGTTTGTTATCTGATTTCAATTAAAAATTGGTTATAAACATCTTTAATTAATTTTATCAAAGGCCAATGTCGGCCGTTTGGTGGTACTAGTGGTTCAGAACGGACTATCATGCCGAGAGGTCCCGGGTTCGATCCCCGGCCAGGCAGAAATTGAAATGATGAATTTTAACTACGCATAATAAATGTATGTGCTTACCTATTTAAAAATTAGTTATTTAAGTAGTATATCCGTATACCATCACACAAGCATATTAGCTTGATTGCTTTTACTTATTCTTCAACCGTAACTTCACTAAAAATAAGTAAGTACCTAGTTAGGTACTGAATAAGTTGTACATCACAATCAAATTACTTCGCTAAATAAAACAATTTTATTCGTGTATTTTTAGCAAATACCTACCTACCTATCCGGATGATTAGAAAGTTAATCGTTTTCTTTGGCTAAACCATTTTAATGTCGCTTAATAGGTCGCGCAAAGAGAGTTGAGGCCATCAACACAAGCAAAGACTTGCTAAACCGAGTCTCCAGCGCGTGTTTTGCCCTACACAATCAACAAAACATATCAACATTCAACAAAATGGCCTACAAAAAATGTTGAATGTTGAGTTTTGGATGACTGTGTAGGGCAAAACAAGCGCTGGGGACCCGGCTTTTCGCTGTCTGCGCTGACGTCATGTGTATTCCGATTGACAAGTGCTTTCGGTCTCTCTTGCAGACATTTATCAAGAGCAAGGTCTAGATCTAGTGTCATCATCATCGTCATCATCATTCTCAGCCATAGGACCTCCGTCGTCCACTGCTGAACATAGGCCTCCCCCAATGCTTTATACAATGGCCGGTTGGTGGCGGCCAGCATCCAGCGCCTTCCCGCTACCTTTATGAGGTCGTCGGTCCACCTTGTCCACTGACGGCCGATGTGGCAGCAAGGTTCTGGAGTGGAGGCCTCGTACCGGAAAGCGCAGCGTAGATCTAGTGTATTCGATGTACATTTGAACTTGAATGTGTAATGTGTTGTTTGTGCTCTGTATTCAAATTACAGCAGTGTGAGTACGTGAAAGCCTCAACTCTCATTGTGCGACCTACACAAGGTTCATTGCCTTTATTTAATTTCGAACGATCCCTTCTGTTTTCAGAGGTCTTTGACATTCAACGCAGATGAGACCTTATTCAGAAACATTACCTCGCCCTTGAAAATTTTGTTTCTATTATTGTAAAACACGCTATTCATGAGATACAAAACTTGTACAAACTTTATATTAATTTACAGCTAAGTTTATATTAATTTGACGCTGACTAAAGCTCATAGCAGACTTATCAACTCGGAAAGGGATCAAACCGTATCGTCTTTTGCGAGCTGTCATAGCCTTTCGCGCGCTGTCAATAGGGATGTTTCCTGGGTAAAAAAGCAAGAGTTTTAATTAGTCCGTCCAGTTAGCTTAACAAAAACTACTCGACACCTATTTTTCACTTTATAAAACTAACTAATGAAAATGTAAAGAGATAAAGCTTGCCAAAGTTCTAAAGAAAAGGCCCGTGACGTCAGTGAGTGCGTAAAAGTGCAGCACTTTATGACGTCGCGCGGAACTTCAATGCACTATAACTTTGTAATTATTTGTTTGATTGACAATTAAAAATATAATGTGTCCAATATATTTTTATATTAAAATTGACGGACTTAAATTTTTTTTTAAGTAACTAGCCTATTGCGAGGCGAGGCGTTTACGTTACAGTGCGGGCGGATAAGGTATGCGTTGCAGTATGGAGTACTATCATACAAAGAATACTGACCGCCTCCAGTTGATACTTACGATCCCTTTCCGGGTTGATAAATGTGCGACGTCCTTAAAGGTAGTAGGTACTTACATTTTCAAGATGGGTCAGAACTTTGACAATAATTGAAGTTGAGGATACGTTTAGAAGTATGGCTGTAGGTAAATGGATATTGATGAAACGTAACGTAATTTACCGGTGCTTCCGCTTAATATTGCTTATAATAACTTTTACAAACATTCTGCCATAACGAAATAAGATGTAATGTTACTACCCATAATAACATTTATTTTTAGAGTTTACAAAAAGTAAAAATAAAATGCCTTTTTAAAACTTATAAGTATTTTTTTCTTCTTCAAAATGGCAAAGGAATTCCTTATAAAAGTCTTAAAAACTTTAGACACATTTCTTAACTTTTTTGTTTGAGCTAAACTATTTTTAATCTGGCCATGAACACGCAAAGGAATAATACTTTAGGTAGGTACTTACTTAACTATTTTTAATCCGTCGAAAAACAAGCAAAGGAATAAAAGTTTTCGTTAAGTTTATGTAGCAAGCATTGTTATTTTTGTTAACTGATGCCAGTAAACATACGGGACTCAGCCTTGCGTTGTTAAAGGAACACTGCGGTAGTGTTGAGTTTTCACAGCATCTAAGATCTTTTACGAGATGATAATACCGCTTTTGAATTTCACTATTGACATGAGAGATAGTACTTTACTAATAAGACAGTAAGTAATGACCTAGCGGTTGTCTAGGTCTCGGTTCAAACCTCTCTTCTGGGCCATTAGTTGGTCCTTCTAAAATGTTAAATACCTAGGTATCCCAAAATACTGATAAGGTCACGTTAGTTAGTGCAAATAAGTAGGTACTCGTATTTACCATAAGATAGGAAGGTCAATAGGTAAGTACATGTTGATGACAACTTTTAATACCTAATTATTACTACCAATTTAGTATAAAACTAATTAATTTAATAATGATACGCGGTTTTGCTTCTATAGGTAATGTTCAAAAGCATGCCATTTTTTAACAGCGACCATAAAAAAGTATCAGTATTTTTTTATCAGCTCAATACAATTCATCCTCAGGGCAATACATTTTTGTAAATTGCGCCTAGCGTGTTCTCAGTTATTCTGTTCTACATAATCATGATATATGCTAGAGAGAATTAATGTACTTACCCCGGGGACAGACGACCCATTTCAGGGGAATTCCCCTGAGATTGTACCTACTTGAGACGTTACCTACAACTAAGTCAACAGAGATTGTTACTGTAACCAGGCCTGGCTCACTCCGCGCGGTACATCCGATAATTACCTACAGCGAAGCGCCCCGCCGGCGGGTATTATATCAGTCGAGTGTCACGCGCACGCCCGTCAGGACGCTAGCGTGCGTTGTAGTATGATTATAATTCTATGATCGAAGTATTATTTAAAAATGTACATAAAGAGAAAGAAATATTGTGCGGCGTTCGGGTGTTTAAATTCGAAAATAAATCTACCGGATTTATCTTTTTTTTTTCGCTTCCCAAAGATGCTGAAAGGTATGTTGACCATGTAGGTAATCAATAATTCTTAGGATAGTATAGGAACCTAACCTTCTAGGACTACTGCTCAGAATGCGTTCGTTCGTTTCAGCCAAATGACGTCCACTGCTGGACAAAGGCCTCTCCCAAGGTTTTCCATAATGAATGCGTACTTACCTACATACGTACCTCATTACAAATAAGTACGTTAATTATTTTTTAACTAGACAGCAACCCTTAACAGCGTAAGAAGAGTTCAGAGGCACGCGATTGAAAGAGACAAAACTTGTAGGTGAATAAAATTGTAGGTACGTAGTGCTGTGCGAGCTGAATTCCACTGTATCGCGTCGTAGCAAGACTCGCATTTATTTAAATCGTCTTGCGGAGTAATCCTTCTGTACCTGTACTTTTACTTATTCTGTGCTGTAACACTGTGTGATCTGAAGTAAAACTAGCGTTCGCCCGCGACTTTGTACGCGTGGATCCCGTTTTACCCCCTTTGGATGGAGTTTCATAAAATCCTTTCTTAGCGGATGCCTACACGTCATAACATCTACCTACATGTAAAATTTCAGCCCGATCCGTCCAGTCAAGTGGTTTAGGCTGTGCGTTGATAGATCACTACGTCAGTCAGTCAGTCAGGTCAGGGAAAAACATCCGTGCTTTTAAACCATTTAGAAAAAATGTACGGCCAAATAAGCACCCATTACTATCCGTTTGCTTTAAGTTTGCCGCTGGCGATAATTATGACGTTACTCGAAGGGAAGCGTCTATATCTAACTTTAACAAACTATTTAGAATATTTTTTATTTATGATTATAAATAAAAATTGTGTATTGGCGTATAATAAGACACATTAATTGCGTTTAATCGCGGGTGGGGGAGTGGACGCGCATTCCACGGACCGGCAAACTGGTAGTACATTAATTCAAGTAGGTATCATTATGGTGATTTAGGTACACATAAGAGAGGTACTTACCTAAAATTCAATTTGCCCAAACAAAGCAC